AAACACAAATAAATAAATAAAACATATAACATGCCAGGCACGATGGCACACACCTATTATTCCAGCTACTAGGAAGGCTGAGGCAGGAGGACAGGGTGGTAAGTTTGAGGCCAGCCTGGGCAACGGTCTTGAATAGAAAGGGGGTCTTGCGGGGAGCTTGGTGGTAGAACACTTGCCTCTAGCATGCTGCAGTCTCCGCTTGTGAAAGAAACAAACTGGCAGAAACGAAATAAAGCCAACCTGAAAATCTGACCATGTTCTAAAACACTGGATTAAATCCTTTTCAGTTTTCAGAGAACTGCAGCCATTTCTAAAAATCCAGCAACACTGGACCCATTTGGCCCACGATTCAGTAGAGCTTAAGCATCTACGTAGCAAGGGAGCTTTAGGTCATCACAGCAAAATCAAGTTACAGGAAAGCACAGGAAGGCTCACTAGATGGAAACGCAATGTAACAGAGCGCATGTGGGAGGGGAGGCCTCAGGTCTTCTGCTCTGACCTTTGTCATTTTCCCAAGTGTTCCACACCGTGCACACATACTTTTATTATTGCTAACAAAACTTTTAATTAAAAAATTCTGAATGAGAAGAAGGAAATGGGCCTGGGGTAAAGAAGGGTATAGAAGGGCTATTGACCTTAAAAAAAAAAAAAAAATAGGTCATTTATTCTTTTGTTCATTCAAGAATTTCTCCTTGAGTGTGATGACAGATGCAGGGTAAATGAATGTGAACAAAACTGATGTGATTTTATCTTCCCCTTAGTTATCTGAAAGTGGGTGTGCTTGTTCTGCACAGCTGGGCACGGTGCTCGGGGATGGCGGGCAGGGGCCAGGCACATGGGACTACCGTCTGGGTAGTCTGGGTAGGAGTCTCAATATTATGCAATAATATTATGCATTATTCCGATACTGCAAATTTGAAATATTGTGGCTGGATTTTTGGAGCTTGCTTTAAAGGCGTCAACAGGAGTGCGAATACTCCATTGTGCCCTCTCCTGGCCCAGTCAGTACTTGTTTATACGCACTCGTAAAACATTTTACGTCTTTGGGCCGGGGATATACCTCAGTGGTACAGCGCCTGCCCGGCAAGCACAAGGTCCTGAATTTTCATTCCTGGTACCAAAAAAACCCACATTTTACTCCTGGTTTGAAAATAAACTTTCATAATACACAGCATTGTAGTTTCTCTAATTAAAAAAGCCAGGGCCCAATCTTTTATGGCGACTTTGTAAAAGCCTTCAAGTCGTGTTTACACCTCCAGCTCTGAGGGAAACTTTAGCTCCTCTTTCTACTTTGCAGATGCTTTGCATTTAGAGGAACGATTCTCAACTCTGGCTGCCCCTTAGGTTTCCCTGGGGAGCTTAAAATACTGCGATACCAGCCCCACCCCAGCCCAATTAAATCATATCCTTGGGGGATTAGACGCTAAATTCTATGGGCTCATTATCACTATTACCTTCGCAATCTGTCTATTTGTTCTGGCACCTAATTCGGGCTCTCATTACCTCTTAGTTTTGCTAATTAAACAGGCTTTTAATTGTTCCTTCCCTTTCTAATTTCTTCATAATAGCAGCGGCAGCCACGGTCCTGCTGGTGACGCAGTACTGAAGCGGCAGTGTAAGCAAACAGTCAGTGAAGACGAACTTTGTGCTGGGCACAATGCTAAGCTCATTACCACGCCATTACCGCCCACCGGCTCCTTTCTACAGAGCTGTAAGATCAGCCTTCCACTAGTCCCCATGTGTGCGTAGATGTAGTTAGCAGTACTGGGGATTGAACCCAGGGCACTTGCACTGAGCTACACTCCCAGGCCCTTTTTTTTT